CTCCATGTTGGACTTTTCACTTTAGAAAGTTCCTGCGAGAGTCATCAGGACTCCTTACGATTCCTGCTGGAGTTTTTCATAAACTTGGGACTCCCGTTGGAGTTTTGCCGGGAGTCTCGACTAGGGTAGTTTTTCTTGTTAGGAAAGACTTGTGAAGGAATTCAAAAAATAACTGACTTATAACTCTTTCGCACTTATAATTTTTTGCACACGTTACAAAACTTAACAAAGAAAAAAGTTTAAATCGAGTTCTATGAATGTCTAGCCATATATGTTTGCTTCTGTTCAAAATCAACTCAAGTTCTTCATTCCGTACAAGAAAAAGTTTGGAAAGGACGAATAACACTGTCTTTACTGGTATGTGGCGCCATCTTAGAAATTCTAAAAGCTAGCGCCTAAAAAAGTCTCCATCAAATAGATAAATACGAACGATGCTCACTTACATTGATAAACTATTTAGCAACCAGAAAGAAAGCATCGAGTATTCTGATACACTTTCATTTAACATTAAAAAGACATATGATTAAGTGAATGAATAATGAGTTGCAAATCCGACAATGGTAGTATATAATAGGACACAATTCAGAATATGTTGGATTTTTACTGCTTTGAGTCTCGATAAACAAAAAGCCTGAAAGAGATTTCGATTCTGGAAATAAGTTTTTTGTATCAAAATTTATGATTGGAACTATCCAGGTCAAAAAATCAGATCAAGATCTTACAAGATCTTATAAAATCCTACGGAAAATCGTAGAAACGGATTCATCTTATAAAATCTTATAAAAATCATATAAGAATCTTACGAAATCTTACTATAAGATCTTACATCATGAATCAATTTCTATGTTTCTTACAGAATCTTATGAATCTTGCGAATTCTTATACGAATCTTACAAAATCAGACGGAATTGTATAAGATCTTACAGTAAGATTCGTTGACCTAGGAAGAAATTGTTCGCGAACTATATATGTGAATAAATAAACAATAATAGATCTCGGTTTTGATGTACACATACATCATACCGCAGTACATTCGCTCCTTTTTATGTATACACACTTAATTTTACAATTTCTACTTTATCATTGAAATAGGATGCAGAACAACATTAGAGGTTTTAACACTAACTATAAAAGATAATCTTTCGATCTTAATTACAAATCATAGTGCTTACACATATCATACTGGACGGTGCAAAGATAACGTATCAGTAACGTATAAATGTATAGAAATAAGACTAAAACACGATGCTGAGATAATTTTCGTAGTTCTATATGAAAAATTAGATTCATTAGATTCTTTCGGAGATCTAAACAAAGATTATTGTATGAAAAATTATTTGCAAAATCCAGATCATTTACAGCATTTTTTCACATTTTTATTAATCGAGATTGTAAGTAGAAGAAAAGCGAGATCTTTTATCGTTTTGTCTAATGAAACAAATGTACCATGTGATTTCAGCAATATTATCAATAATGGTAGGCAGGCTGCTTCGATATTCATAATATTATCATAAATTCTATAGGATTAACAAGGATTGAACACCCATTTAACGAGTATAGAAAACGTTTTATTGGTATGTTTTGTCATATCCATTTGCCTTTTCCAATATCCTTCGTACATATGATCTCAGTTAGTTACTTAGTTATCTATTATCATTAAACTATTTTTCAACAATTGTCTGCAGTATTTTACTCACGAGAACATATTGTTTGTCTAAATATTGGTACTACGGAAACGAATAATGGAATGGAAACAAATGTTGAAGAATAGAACAATTTTGATTAACTACAAATGATAATTTGTGGCAATTAGAATATGGAACGTTAAAACATCGTTTTTACCGATTACTTCATTACACCAAAACTAAGCGAATTTGTAGAGGCTGCTGGATTTTCTGACAGGAAATATATATAAACTGGATAACATATTTGACTAGGCATCGAATAATCAAAAGTATTTCCTAGGTAGCCAAACTACTAAGCAATTCGGACTCTGTAAACATTTATTTAACAGTTCTAATTACCGAGCAATTTGTCATTTCATAAATTCGGTAGAAGACGTATTGAAAATTTATGTTTAGTGCTATCTTTAATCTTTGAACGGTTACAACTGTGTATATAAATAGATCGTTATGTCTTTTTTCTATATGTGAGCAGATCTGTTATAGATAAAGTTATCGTCGAAAAAAATCACTATTAATATGTTTTTCCTTCTCTTTTCTTTTACTTTATGCAATCGATGTGTCACTGTATCGACCTGTCAGATGAAAAGCCGTCAATGTTCAAAAAACAATATCTGTTCACACATTTTTATTCTTAGAAAACACATTTAACAATTTTGGCAAAAAAATAAGATGGCAGCAAGAATGGCATACAAAAGTAGTTCAATTATAACTGTGATTCTGTATTCCATTTTTTTGAATAGTTTACTTTAAGTGATTGAAATAACAAACATAAAAGATGTAAAAAGAAATAACATCTTTATGGATCTTCTAAAATTAAATATGTCAAAATTTCTGCTTTTTAAAACTTACGCTAATGAATCTACTATGAATCATTCCAATTAAACTGCTTTACTTTGAAAATTTAAAACTTCTAGTATTTTAAGTCTTAGTCTTCACAAGAAATCAATTGGTGCTCGTAAAACAGTCCAAAAAAATGACAAAAGCATCGCAGTTTATTTTATTGACATTATATTCAAAAATAGGACATAATAACATATCATTGATACAATTTCCATCGGAAAACATTGTTTTCGCCTTTTTTGTACTGAGGTAGAACTATTTCGTGAGAATGGTCCAAGATCGTACTCAAAACTGATTTTTGTACACAGTTCATCCGAATTAGGAAGACCTTCTAAAGAAGAAAAAGATGATGGAGTATAATTACTGTTTCAGTACTACGGTGGTCCGAAGCTCATCGCTTAACTCTACAAAAGGTTATTTTTCCAGCCGTTTTCATAATTTTTCAGCATAATTTTTAAGTACTTTAATTTAAAGTATCTCAGTATGCATAGTTGAACCTAAGTACAGGGAAATTAATTTGAATTGTACTAGTTTTAAATTATTATTTCACTTTGCACTCGCCTTTTTCGAATAAAAAAGTTTTCAGTTCGTAATGACAAAAAACAGCATAGAGTTATATAGGGTTAACAATAATGTCATTAGTTTTACAGCAAAACAATATATAATATTTAATTTTTTGTTTAACACTACTTTTTTTATTACATCTATTTGTCATGTTTCAAAAACATTTTAGTTTTGTTAAAAAACTGATATACAAAAATCAGTTCATAAATGTACCTGAAAGATCTTGCATGAGGACCATCTTAGTTTCTCTTATTCTATTCATGTTCGCACTGACACCACAAAACAACAAAAATAGCTTTAAATTTTCAAATAATTCTAATATAAAACTGATATGTATAGATAGACAACACTTTTATATTTAATATTTCGAAAAAAAAATTCAAAAAATTTCAATATTCGTTGAATTCTAACTTAAATAATGATAACCCTGAACCTTTTTTCATCTCAAACTTTTCACAAAATCATGTGAATACTCCACAGAAAATAATGTTTTTTAGATAAAATTTAGATAGATGTGGAGGTTAAAGTCTTGTGAATTTGATTGTGATGTTTGTTATTTAAAATTTTCTCGAGTTTTCAATTAATTTCATATTTAATAAACTCGACTAGAACACATATTAGCTAAAATAGGAATATAAAAACGATGATGTTCGATTCTACATGTACACACGACAAAAACATCGACAAGAACAGGAAAAAAATTGTTGGTGTCCCATGCGAGGTTCGAGCGTATTATATGGTAACGAAAATATCTGTCTACGAGAGAAGAACAGAATCTTGAATTAGAAATATAGTCCAGGCAAGAATCAAGAATTATTGATATAACAGGTTATTTTGCCCATTTCTAACTAAATATCACCTCTCTTTGTGCTTAATCTGTTAAAGATGTACTCACAAGATACATAATTGCCTGATCCTAGAAGTCATCCCAATTTACCGGAGGTCTTTTAGTCACATCATCCAGATACTCAAACAAACAGATTCAGAACAACATTATTTCACGTTAACTATCTTCTAAAAAACAGTACATAAAAGCTTTCCAAATGATGACTTTTGTTCAGGAGGAGTAATGAGGTAATAGTAAGTTGAGACAACAATGTAATTTAGATTCAACCTGCTTCAGCAATAATTCTGCTATTTGACGCAACTACTTTATCAAATCATCTGGGAGTCTTGTTAGTTAATAGCTGTTGAAACACATTCAACAAATCATTCCATAGTCACTTTAACTTCAAAGACGACTTTTCTATATTTTACTAGTAGCCGTACGATCACCTTTTTAGATCTATGGACCGTCTTTGAAAGCTCTATTCAGACTATTCAGATCTATTCAAACTTCATGAAACTCCAAGTGATGAATTTGTGATGGTGAAAACTAAGATTTATCCGAATATTATTTGTTGTTGTCAAAGGTCGTGTATCTTTCAGAAGGTAATATATCGGCGTTAGTTCAAGTAATACTGAGCAGAATCTGATAAAGGGATTCTTGCCTGTTTTTTTGTCTGATATTTCTCTCTCATACTATAAATAGATGTGTACCGTCATTTTTTTCTTTCTTCATACTCTCATCAAATCGTTCGTACAACAACCATATATTCATATTCTCATTTCTCTCTACGTTTTCTATACGTAAAATGACTGAATTAACAAATGGCAATGCGTCTTCATCCTCAGCTGCTGTAAATACATCATCGGCCGGTGGATCTTCAACAAATGCTGGTAGTGGATCAACATCAAAAAGTAAAAAATCTTCATCAACAACCAAAAAAGGTGAAAATAAAAAAAGTAGTCCACCAAATCATCCGAAATATTCAGTTATGATTAAACAAGCGTTAACTCATCTCAATGATCGTCAGGGTTCATCAAAATCGGCTATCTTAAAATACATTCAAGCAAATTATAAAGTTGATCCAGTTAATTCAAATAATCATCTCAAGTATGCCTTGAAAGCGGCCATCACAAATGGTACATTAAAACAAACGAAAGGTAAGATTTAATCGACTATCGTTTGTTTGAAAGAGTGATTCATGTGTGAAGTCTTCCTCAATGACTGACTGCTGATAAAATGAAGACAACACGTTATCGCTTATTTCCTCGTAACAGAATCAGAATGAAACCATTTGCATTTACAATGAGACATATCAGACAAGAGAGTATTTGTTTATTTTTGCGCACATCATACATACTTGACAAACTTCTTGTCGTTCTGCTTTTATTTCGAAATCCTCTTTACATTCGCTAACAAAATTAATTTTATATTGGTTTAGGTACTGGCGCTGCGGGTAGTTTTAAACTCGGCGAAAAGAAAACTACGAAGAAAGCCGCTTCTACAAAAAAAGCATCAACAGGTGCAGCTGGAACTACCAAGAAAAAAGTAAATTATTTATCTATTAAATGAGCTCATCAAAGGTTATCAATCGTTCTAATATTTTAGACATCTGCAAAGAAAACTGTGTCACCGAAAAAACCCAAATCCTCAACATCTTCGGCTGGTACAAAGAAACGTTCGGCATCACCATCAAAATCACGTTCAAAATCTCCGACAAAAAAGAAAGCAGTTACAGCAACAACTAAAGCAAAACCAGGTAAATATCTTCAAAAAATGGTTGCAATATGATCGATGTTCAGTCAGATTGTATTTGGCACCAACATAAATGAGTAAAACATGTATCACGTAGAAACAGCCAGATTTAGTACACATTTCGCTGATTATTTAGTCACTACTTCATATCCCATTCTTAATCAAGTACAGATTTTCTGAAAAGGCTGACTAATTTGTTCATTTTTTCTCCAACTTAGTCTCTGCATCAGCAGCAGCAACAACGCCGCGTCAGTCAAAACCAAAAACAAGCGCGTCGACAAAAACTACTACAAAACCAAAAGCTGCTTCGAAGAAGAAAACTGCCTCCCCATCAACCAAACCAAAATCTTCGACTGCTACGAAAAAAGCTTCCCCGAAAAAGAAATCGACAACGACGAAAAAAACAAACAAGTCAGGCAAAGCTAAACCCAAACTCTCCACTAAAAAAGCATCATAGTAAACTGATATACTGATTAGTGTGTGTACATATTAGCATAGACACGTATTTTCCGAAATGTTCTATTTTTCTTTACACTCGTAGCCATTGTTAGATATTGTTTTGGTATATAATGCGCTTTTTGGTCGCTCTGTGTGTATATGTGCGTCTTGTTCATTGCCACTCACTATCTCATGTTTTGAATGTTCAAAAAAAAGACATTCATACTGTACAGTACATAGTTGGATTACTGCAAAAGAAACAAATGTGCCTATTTCCCATACTTCGACATTTTGTCTTAATAACATTATTCTGCTCAAAACAAGTGAACGAAAGAAGAAGAAAAATTGATTATCCATAGAACACTGTTTAAATTTATGACTATACATCCCATACTGACAATTGGAGAATTGATGATGATAAAAATAAATCGTCAAAAGAGAACAGATGGTTCACTTTTCCTCTAAACGAATATGTCTTTTTCTAAGTATGTACCATTTGTGTACAGAAAATAAAAAGACATTGTAAAGCAGAAAAAATATCTAATTCTATCAATACTTGTGTGATGCTCAGTAATATATAGCGCCCCATCAAAATTAGCAACAAATTGTCGGTTTATCTGTTTGATCACTTGTAATTGATTGACCATTTTTGGTGATTGCTAATTAATCTTCGGTCGCTAAATAGTACAAAAGATAGATAAATCAAGGTTTATGTACTAATAGAAAAACTTGCCAAGATGGAACGTTCGAGTCTACGGATGGAGCGGAGCTCAGGTGAAGTATGAATGTTTTATTAACTTCACACTAATAAAAGCTAATCGAAAGCTGATCCAATTTCTGCAACACATAATAGAAGAACAAGTTTGAACGCCATGGGCCCTGAAGTAAAAGTCATCTAGAACAATTACACCTGCAGGCATTTACGAAGTGAACATGTACATCAGAGGGCAGTGGACAATAGTGCGGTCATTTACTACAGAATCGAAGATGAGATTTTTCGATGTTGAGCTATGCGATAGTCAAACTTCGCTATTAAGATCATCTGTCACTATAAATATTTTATGATGGATAAACAATTTATATTGGGAACACAGCAGAAATAAATTTTCTCGGAAAATCCGTTTACTTGAGCATTTTTTTCTAAAAATTTGTTGTAACTGAAGTCTTTGAGCAGTGCAATGAATCAATCTTGTCTTCCAGCTTCCAGTCGACACAAATTGTGTTCTAGCTGCCACTAATCGACACTCCCCAAGAAAGTCCCCAGGGACTCCCCGGGGAGTCCCTCTAAAACTCCCCGGGGATTCCGTAACGGGAGTCCCCAGGGATTTTTAGGGGAGTCCCCAGGGAGTCCCTGGGG